AGCCACTCCCGGCCGGGAGCTGCCCCTTGCCCCGCAGCAGGAAGGGCAGGATGGGCACAGGGCGGGGGCGAGCGCCGCGGCTCTGACCTGCCTTCCCCCTCCTCGCAGATCCGCATGTCAGACCACAAGGACCCCAGCGATGGGGATCCAGATCCCCAGCACGGCATTACTGTGGTCTTCCTCCTTGTCCTTGTCTTCTTCATCATGGGGCTGGTGGGGTTCCTGATCTGCCACGTCCTGAAGAAGAAGGGTTATCGGTGCCGGACTTTCCGGGATGAGCTTGACCCAGACGACAAAGAAGGGGTGGAGGAGCTCGAGGATGGTGAGTGCTGGGGCGATGGGGGCTCGGCCTTTTGCCTGGAGCGGGCTAGTGCTCCTCATACACCCTTCTGGGGTGTGGGGTGGGGCTGGCAGGGTTACCTGTCACGTGTGGCTGGGTTGGGGCGCTGAGAGCAGCAGGGTGTTCCCTGGGGATCGGGAGTGTGAGGGCCAGGATCCCTGTGATCCACGAGCTGCCAACGGCTGCAGGTGACAGGGAGGTGGGAACCAGTGCCTGGCCCTTCCCAAAGGAGCATTATCACCAAAAGGTAATTCTGATGAACATCCAGGACTTGCTAAATTCTCAGTATCTCAATCATAATCCCTGTTCCCTCAAGGAAAACCTCTCCCAGCTGGAGCACAAGCTGTCCCTCTGCCCCTCTGGATGTCTGGCAGGAAGCCAGCTGGTGTTTGCTGTTGGTCATGCCTTCTTCTAGCCCCCGCTGTCTTCACACCAACCAGAGAAACAGGGGTGTTGCTAGAAGGGGAAGGGACCTGTAGGGAATTTTTTCCATGGCTTCAGGCCACCGCAAGTCGCTCTGGGGTGGTTGGATTGGGAAGTCAGTGCCGCATCGAGCGTGGGTGCCTGGCCCAAGCGAGCTCTGTCATCCGGCGCTTTCCTGAGTCTCTGCTGAAGTGGGGAACACACGCTCCTCCGGCTGCTTCCCAGGCTGGGAACAGCCACATGGTGCTACACAACTCCCCCAGCTCCCGTGTGCCATCGGCAGTGCTGGGGAGGATCAGCACCTCCTGCTGCCGCTGCCTGTGCTCGGGAGGGAAACGCGGCTGCAGCGGCTCAGCCACGGCTGCAGCCACAGCTTCCAGGATGTCCATGGATGTGCTCCTCTGGCTTTAGCATCTTGGCTGTGACATGGAGACAGTGTCTGAACCTTCCAGGATGGGCTTTGCCCACAGCCAGGCCACACCACCCCACCACAGCCCGGGGAAACATCTCCGTGGGCTTCCAAGATGATGGAAGCAGCCCTTGGGCCTTTGAGGCAGCTGCCAGCCAGACCACAGCTCCAACCTGCTCAAAGGAACGTGTCACACTGCTCATCCATCCATCCATCCATTCATCCATCATCCATCCATCCATCATCCATCCATCTATCCATCCCTCCTGCTTCCAACAGTGGCTGGAAGCAGGTTGAGGTGAACATTGTGGATGAATTCCACAGCAGAGCAGGCACCAGCCAAGGTTCCTCAGAACAACCTTTTAAGCTTTTAATGGTGCGCAGCTCTGGGGCTCTCTGTATCAAGGTGTGTTCCCCATTTCTGTGTGTAGCAGGTCCCCGTGGGTTTATTTGGATTTATTTTCTGTGGACATGTCCTGTTTACCCTTGGAGCCTTGAGCATGTGCAGCATCCTGCAGCTCCAGGGCTGGACAAGGACCCTCCTCTTTTGACTTTTTGGGACCTGCTTCCCGCTCATTTCACCGGGTGCTCCCCTGTTGGGAAGGAGCGACACAACGCCCTCTCCCTGCACACGCAGCTGCTGGCTCAGCTGTTTCTTTTCCAGGAGGAGGGATCTGGTATTCCCCAGTGGCTTCCCAGTGTGACAGGGGACACGAGGCTTCTCCAACGTCTCTGCTGATGCAGCTGCTCCAGGGAAGGGATGAGTGAGCGGAGTCGCTGAATGCCAGCCCTCAGTGCCACGTTGTCTCTTTGCAGATGAGGACAAGAACGATGACACCGTGGAGAAGATCGTGAGATGCATCATCCAAAATGAAGGTGAGCACTTCCATGGGCCGGCCCAGAGCTCTGCTGACCACTTTGGCTGACGTATTCCCGTTTTTCCCTCTCTCTTCAGCAAATGTGGAGGCCCTCAAGGAGATGTTGGGGGAAAATGAAGGGGACGTGCCAGTGCCAGTGCCCAGGTGAGGGTAGCTCACAGCAACTTGTGGCTGGGAGGGAGGGACAAGCAGTCCCTTTCCAGCTGCTTCAAAGAATCTTCCCAATGGAGAGTCCTGCTCTCCTGAGGGTTTTGAGGAGTGCTTCACCCCGCTGTCAAGTGAAACAGCTCTTCCTCATTCCTGTCCCCAGCAGAGGTCCCCCCCCAGAGCTGCTGCTCCCAGGGCTTGCTGCAGTGGGGCTGCACCAGGGCTGGGGTGTCTCCCCGAGGTGACACGACCTGTCATGTCCTTCTGTTGCAGCCTGTGTCCCCACAGTAGCAGCCAGGATGGGGGCCCACCACATCACCACACGGTGCACCTGGGCTCCACACAGGCCCCCTGCATCCACTGCAGCAGGAGGAAGAGGCACCCGCTGCAGCGCCAGGGCCGGTCCAAGGAGGGCAAAAGCAGGATGCATCCTGGAGAGACCACCGTCTTCTCAGTGGGCAGGTACCCAAATGAGCTCTGCCAGACATTTCCCTGCTGGAATGAGCACCGTGAGCTCTCCTCAGTCCTCCTGCTCCTTCCCCCTTTCCCACTTGCCCAGAGTTCCGCATTGAGATGCCCCAGCAGCAGCTCTGCAGCTGGAGCTCCTGAGGACCCAGGTGGTTCCTGCACCTGGAAATGCCTGTGGTACGTGGCAGGCTGTGATGCACTGGTGGCTTCCCTCCTTCTCCGGGAAGGTGACTCAAGCTGGGTTTTCCTGCTGAGTCAGTGCTGGGCACAGCCCCAGCCCCGTGTCCTTTCGGAGCCCGCTGTCCCAGCCCGGTGCAGGCAGGGCCCTTGCTGCCCAACTGGGGGCTTCAGGGACCTCGTTAAGGGGGGCAGAGGGGACAGCATGTCCCAGGTGCGAGCCACCACCTACTCAGAAGGAAAGAGTGTCTGTGCTGCTCCAGGTCGCTGCCTCCAGCGATGTCTGTAATTAGATGACACAGCAGCAATGTAAGAACACGGGAGTGTTCCTGATACTTCCCACAAATGCTTTCCAGTCCCCACCTGGTTTCACCTCAAGGGACTTCCTGAGCTTCCTGTGGTCTCTGTGTAGTCACTAACCTGTGGATCAGTCTGTAGGCTCGCCCAGGCTGCCCCATTCCCCAGCAGAGAGGGTTAGGAAACCCTCTCTGGGCTTGGCTCCCTCCGGCTGTGGTGACTGGGGCAGGTGCTGGTCCCTGGATGGCCACCGTGGTGAGACACAAAGCTCTGTCATGCTCAAATTGTGCACAAGGTCTTCATTCAGGGCCTGAGCCTTGACCAAACTTCAGGTCGTGGTCCAGAGGGACAGTCCTTTCATGGGAATGCTGAGCCAGAGTGGGCATGGAATTGTGGAATGGTTTGGCTTGGAAAGGACCTTGAAGTTCATCCCATTCCAACCCCTGCCATGGCAGGGACACCTCCCACCATCCCAGGCTGCTCCAAACCCCATCCAGCCTGGCCTTGGGCACTTCCAGGGATCCAGGGGCAGCCCCAGCTGCTCTGAGCACCCTGTGCCAGGGCCTCCCCACCCTGCCAGGAAACAATTCCTGACCAATATCCCATCCAGCCCTGCCCTCTGGCAGTGGGAAGCCATTCCCTGTGTCCTATCATGTGGATTATTCCACCACCACGGGCAGGACCCTCAGCAGGGAGGTGAGCTGGGGGTTTCTGAAGAGCTGGAGAAGCATTGAGACCTGCTGGACCTCTCCAGGCTGAATTACAGCTCGGATCTCATCTTGTGGACACTGCCAGCTCCTGGCTCCCTCCGTCCCGTAGCTGTCCTTGGAGGTGGTGCCCAGATCTGCACAGTTCCGTACTCACCGCTAATTCATTCCCTGGCTGGTGCCCAGCTCCATCCACTCCTCCATGTCCTTTGTCCGTGCTCTTCCCAGTCTCACTCACCTTGGAGTGCTGGACAAGATGGTCCCCTTTCCCAAAGGCACCTTCCCTCAATTCCTGCTTTTTTTCTCTTCCACCCTGTAAATATCCCACGCCACACCAAACTCTTCCACAGGGGAGATTGTCCCTGCCCGTGACAGGGAGTGGGACTGGATGATCCTTTAGGACCTCCTTCCGACCCAAGCCATTCCATGAGTCTGTGATCCCTAACTCCTCTCTTCTCCCCATGTACAATGTTACATCACGTCTGGTTATGAGCCCTTCCTTTGAGGATGGCAGAGCCATTTCTGCAGCTTTTCTCCTGCCCACCCAGGAGCTCTGAGCTCTCACCTGCTCATGGAACCTTGGTGAGCCACTCAGGTACCCCCTGCCACTCCAGGAGAGGGTGCAAAATGTGCTCTGGCAGATTTTTGCCAAACAACTCCTTCAGCCTTTGATCCCTGTATCCAAACCACTGCCAAAACCCCGTCCCTGCCCTCACTCAGGGCACGATCTCATCCAGGTTGTCTCGGAGCATTTCCAGGAGCTGTGATCCATCTTGCTGCTGGGAGGGCAAGATCTGGATTGAGCTTTCCATCCTTCGCTTTCTGTTTGTTTTGCTCAAAATGAAGGGAAAAATGACTTTGGGGGGCACGGCTTGCGTGAGTGTGAACGAGTCGGAAAGGTTGGAGATCACGGCAAAGAGTGATCCAGAGCTGGAGGTACAGGCAAGCTGGGAATCCAGCCGTGAGGACAGCATGGAAAAGACTGCTGTGTCCTGCCCTCATTGCAGGTTCCGTGTCACACACATTGGGAAGAGACCGCCGGTCCATGAGCATCAGGACGGCGCGCTGCCCGCCGGCAGCCGGCAGCCGAGCACGGAGGAGCTGGAG